ACATTTCTCCGACAGATATACAGAAATGGCCAATAAAACATGAAAAGATGCTCAACGTGATTTGTCATTAGAGAAACGCAAATCAGAAGCAGAATGGGACATCACTTCACCTCTACCGAGATGGTTATAATAAAAGTAGTGGAAACTAACAAGCGCTGGTAAGCATGTAGAGAAATCGGAACCCTTGTGCACAGCTGGTGGGAATGGAAAATGGCGCAGTCACTGTGGAAAACAGTGGGCAGTTCCTCAAAAAGTTAAACATAGAATTCCCACATAACTCAGCAATTCGGCTCCTCGATACACACCTGAAAGAATGGAAAACAGGGACCTAAACAGATGCTTGTACACCGATGTCCGTAACAGCATTGTTCACATTAGCTAAAAAGTAGAAACAACTCAAGTGTCCATTAACAGATGGAGGAGACACAAAATGTGGTATATGCATACAAAGGAATATTATTTTGCTTAAAAAAGAATTTAGTTCTCATATACACTACAACATATATCATGTGTTCATAACAGGGAGTTATTTTTTAATTGGTACTGAATTTCTGTTCAGGGTGATGAAAATGGGGTGGTGATGGTTGTGCAATATTGTGAATATAATTAACGTCGCTGGATTGTATACTAAAAAGTGGTTAAAATGGCAAATTTTATGTTACATATATTTAACCACAATAAAAAAAAGCAAAGTGACAACCTGTATATGTAGCATTCTACCACTTGGGTGAGAAAGAAGGGAACAAAGCCTGTGATTCCATGGTTTTCCGTGTACAGACTCTCTCCAAAGGACGCACCAGAGACGGGCTGCGGGGGAAGCTGGGCGACAGGCGGAACTTGCTGTTCTCCCTTCTGCATGTCTGAATTCTGAATTCTGTGCAGGTGTTACTTACTCACAAACAATTACTTAAAAAAAGAATTCACAGAAATGGGCTTTAAATAAACATTATGACCCCAATAAGTAACTGTGTAAAGATCAGTCAATTCCTGAGACAAGAGGCACACCCTCCCCGACTCACACCTGCACAGAAAGCACGGTCCTCAGCATCGCCTGCCCCTCGGCCATGTCCACTTCTCCAGGAGGAGCTGCAGGAAGAGAGAGGACACGTGAATACCTGCTCCTGTGGGGTTAGAACTGTCCAGAGAGGACCACCAGCACCCCAACAGCAGCCCGAGGACACCACCACTTGTGCACCTGGGGCTGTGAACCATGCAGGAAGAACCGGCTTTTTCCTTGGGTTTCTTGTCTTTTCTGATCTCTGTGAGGCACTTACAGCGTAGGCCAATTCTGTCTTAGAACCAGCTCCCCCCACAAAGAAAATTCCGGGCCCAGACGGTTTCAGTGATGAATGAATGCTATCAAACATTTAAAGGCAAAATACTTACATAAACTGTATCAGAAAATCGAAAAGAAGGGAATGCCTCCTAACTCATTTTATGAGGCCAACATAACCTTGCTACCAAAACCTGACAAATTGTTACAAGAAAAGACAATTAAAGCTCAGTATCACAAACAGAGATGCAAAACTCCTCACCACATATTAGCAAATCAAATGTATGGGTATATATATATATATATATATATATGTATGTGTGTGTGTATTTATATCTCCCAGAAATAAAAGGTTGGTTCAACATTCGAAGATTTATATAATTAATTACATTAAAATTATATTCATAGAATAAAGGAGAAAAATCATAATACCTTAATAGATGAAAATGAATAAGTGAATTAAGTGAGGCCATAGGATGTGAGGGTCTTCTTATTTGTTGCTAACCTTAATACTCCAAACCCACATCACAGTTAGCAATTTTTCATACTGCACTTTCCCTGCTCATATTACTGTGCAGTTTCTGTCTCCGGGTTGGCTCCTTACTGATACAGCTCAGGGGAGAAATTACTCTCGACCTCTACTTCACTACATACAAAACATTTGACTTGGATTATATTGTAGATCTAAACGGAAAAACTAAAACTACAAAATTTCTAGAAGAAAATATAGAAGGAAATTGTTGTGACCTTGTGGTAGGCAAAGATTTCTTAAGTAGGACACAAAAATCGCTAACCATAAAAAAGTTGACAAGTTGGACTTCATCGAAATTTAAAATTCCTGCTCTATGAAAGACATCATTAAGAGGAAAAGGCAAGAGTGCAGGAAAGGGGGTTCCGCAGGCCTGGGTCCCTCTCACCCTGCACATTCCCAAGACAGGCCTGTTTTCAGGACTGGGCCTTGGATAGCTCCTGGGAACTGAGCTTCTAGAATGTTCTGTCAGACAAGAGTGCTTCTGCAAGCCTGAGGCCTTGAGCCACGCGGTGCCAGACTGTCCGGATAGTTCACACTGGCAGCGTGACTCAGTGAACATCTGCTTTCCAGCCGGGGGTCCACAGCCTTAGTAACTTCGGTCAGGCAGGCGGCACCGACAAACCTCCAAGGAACACTCGGGGCGCCTGAGCATGGGCAGGTTTCCCTGGTTGGCAACACTCCACAGGCGTTGTCACATACCATTCGGGGAACAGGGCACATCCCTTCCAGTCCCCCAAGGGGGCATGTGGGTGCTTGTGGCTGGCGTCCTCCAGACTTCACCACACGCACCTTCCCTGTGCTGATTTTACTTTGTGTCCTTTTGGTGTTAGAAGCACTAACGGTGAGTATACCAACTTATGAGTCCTGTGAGATCCTTCTAGTGAAACACTGAGCCTGAGGGTGGTCTTGGGGACTCCCGAGACAAGATGCCACAGAATGCGAGGAAACAGTCACTCTACATGTGCTAAAGCAGACATAATACATAGAGACAGACGAATATAACACACACGGAACAGATATGTGATAAAGGTCTTGTATCCAGAATATAGAGAGAATTCTCACAGCTCGGAAACAAGGAAACAACCCAATAAAAAATGAGCAAGGGATGGAAGACTGACAAGTGTGGGCAAAGATCTAGAGCAAATGTAACTCTCGCACATTGTTGGTGGGAACGTAAAATGCATCAGCCACGGTGGAAGTCTCAGAGTTTCTTAGAAAGCTAAACGTACACCTACTCCCTGACCTGGCAGCTATTCCATTACCACGTGTTTATCCAAGAGAAATGAAAATATACATCGACAGAAAGGCTTGTATGCAAATGATTACAGCAGCTTTACTCATAAAAGCTAAAAGCCAGAAGCAACTGAAATGCCCATGAACAGGTGAATGAACAAACAAATTGTGATGTGTTTATACACATATCACACAAGGAATACCACACAACAAAAATGAACAAGCCACTCATACACACATGATATGGACAAATCTCAGAGACACTGAATTTTTTTTTTGAGGAAGATTAGCCCTGAGCTAACATCCATGCCCATCTTCCTCCACTTTATATGTGGGACGCCTACCACAGCATGGTGTGCCAAGCGGTGCCATGTCCGCACCCGGGATCCCAACCTGGCGAACCCCAGGCCAAGAAGCAGAATGTGCACACTTAACTGCTGTGCCATCGGGCCTGCCCTAGAGATACTGAGTTTTTAAAAAGCCAGACACAAAGGAGAACACACGTTATGGTTCGATTTTCACGAAGTTCTAAAGCAAGTTCCATGCTGAAAGAAAGCAGCCCAGCATTGGCTTGGGGTGAGGAACCCCAGGAATTGGCTATAGGGAGGCAGGAAGGAACTCTCTGGGGTGTTGAAAATGTTCTGTCTTGATTGGAGTGGTAGTTACACAGATTTATACATTTGTCAAAACCCATTAAACTGTACACTCAAAATACGAATTTTGCTGTATCTAAATTACATATCAATACAGTTGATTAAAAAGAAACTAGGTCCTGTCTCCCAAGACCCAGTGTCTCGGGGTCTCCTCCAGCCTGCGGGCCTCCCTGCCTCTGTCTCCTGTCCTCCTCCTCTGCCCCCGCCGCACGGCCACCTCACACTTCCCCTGAAAGAACCTCAGCAGAGCCCGTGGCCCCACCCTTCCCGGAGAGGCAGGCAGCTCCCAGATCCTCCCTCCTCCCTCCACCCAGCCACGGTGCTCTGAACCAGAACTGACCTGGTTTTCTCCCTCCGGGTGCACCCAGGGCAACATCTGACTCATGACACTGTATGTGTGTCACCCGCTTGTCCCATCTTGGGACAGCACCTCCATGTGTCAAGCCTCTCAGGCCAGAAATGGGAGGTTCCAAGTTTGGGCCTCCAGCCTCACCTCCATGCTCTGATTCCAAATCCAACAGACTCATCACCCCAAACCCCTCCTGCCCATCTCCTCCCTCCCTGCCAGGGTTCAGGTCTGAGTCTCCTTTTGACTGATCTACCACAGTGACCTCCTTCCTGGCCCTCCTACCACCAGCCCAGACCTCCTGTAACCAACCCATTTCAACGATGAGGCCAGACTGACCTTTCCAAGACTCATTCATTTGTTTCATTCAACAAATGTAAATGGAACACCTACTCTGCGCCAGCCACTGTTTTAGGCACCGGGAATACAGCAGTGAAAAGCCAACAAAAAACCCTGCCCTCGTGGGGCTTACATTCTAGTCAAGGAGGCAGCAATAAACAAGACAAACAAGTAAAAGGATAGGTTAGACAGCGTGGGAGCCAATCCCAAGGCTCCTGTCCTGTGGCGTGTGCCCTTGTGTTGTCCCTTCCCACAGTGAAAAGGCTGACCTGGGTACCAGTTGCAGAAATAATGGTGTGTGGCTTCTGAGGCTACATCACAAAAGACACCGCAGCACTTGCCTTGCTCTCTCTCAGCTCACTGCCTCGGGGGGAAGCTGGCTGCCACGCTGTGAGATGCTCAAGCAGCCCTGTGCAAAGCCCACGTGGTGAGGAGCCGAGGCCTCCTGCCAACAGCCAGCCCCGACTGGACACCCATGTGGTGGCTTCATCTTGGAAGCACATTCCCCAGCCCCAGTCGAGCCTTTGGATGTCTGCAGCGCTGGCCGACAGCTTGACCGCAGCTTCATGAGACTCAAGCTAGAAGCACAAGAGCAGCTGCTCACAAATTCCTGACCCACGAAAGTGCCGTGAAATAAAAAATGTTTATTGTTGCTTTAAGTCTCTAAAATTCAGGGTAATTTATTATGCAGGAATAGATAATTAATACAGACACTGAAGAGATAAGGAGAAAAATAAAGCAAGGAAGGGCTACAATCTTAGAGACGATGTCCAGAAAAGGCTTCCTTAGGAGAAGGTCACAAAGAGCGAGGAAGCCAGCCACGTGGATATCTGGGAGAAAGCATCTCCGACAGAGGGACTAGCACCTGGAGCGTGCCTAGTTCCAGATACAGCAGATGCCAGTGTGACCAGTGATGGTGGGGGAGGGAGGGAGAGGAGATGGAGCTGGAACTCACAACTGGGGACCAGATGGCACAGGACCTCAGAGGCCGTGCATGGTGAGACCTCGGCTTCCACTCTGGGGACAGGAGTCCACGGAGGATTCACAGCAGGCAGGGGACGTGGTCTGGCCCACCCTGTACCAGGATGGTCCAGTACTGTGTGGAGAGCAGGTCGGCGGTGGGACAAGTAGAAGCAGGGAGACGGTGGAGGGGCTGTTCCAACAATCCAGGGAGGGACAGTGCCGAGCAGGGGAGAACTGAGAAGGCTCAGAACCTGGATACACTGTGAAAGGAGAGCCAACAGGGTTTGAGAATGAATCAAATGTGGGATGTGAGAAAACAGCAGAGTCAAGAAGTACTCCAAGATTTTTGGACTAAGCAGCTGGAAGAAAGGAATGATCACTTGTTGAGATGGGAAACAGCGCAGAGGAAGGGGGTCTGCGGAGAGGGCGGGAGTCACTTTAGACATCGAAGGTGAAGAGTCTTAGATATCCAAGTGGAAGCGCCAGGTACAGCCAGGTATGTGAATCAGAGTTCGAGCAGAGATCTGGGCAGGAGATATAAATTTGGGGGTCATCAGCTCATGGATGGCAGTTAAAGCCACAAGACCGGATGACATTTCCCAAGGAGGGAGCGCAGCTAGAGAAAGCGGGAGGAGGTGTCTGAAGAAGAAGCCCTAGGGCCCTCCAGCCTTGGGGAGAGAGGTCTTTCATCTTAGGAGGAGATGAGGGCCCAGTGATGGAGACTGAGGCAGGACCCGGGAGTGTGTCAAAACCCCAGCACGTCAACTCAGGAATGGAGAGCCACCAGGGTACAAAAGGGCCCTGTGACTCAGCATTCTGCAGGCTCCCAGGGTCTTTTCAACTTTTGCTCTCACTAACACCTAAATTATTATTTTACTGATGTTCTTTAAATGATTTTTTTAATTGCAGTAAAAAATACTTAAAATTGTCCATCTTAACCATTTCTAAGTGTACAGTTTAGTAGGGTTAAGTATATTCACACTGTTGCACAACCAATCTCCAGAACTTTTCCATCTTGCAAAACTGAAACTCTGTCCCTGTTAAATGGCTCCCCATTCCCCCCTCCCCCCAGTCCCTGGCAACCACCAGTCTCCTTTCTGTCTCTACCAATTTGACTACTCTAGAGACCTCATATAAGTGGAATCATACAGTATTTGTTACTCTGAGACTGGCTCAGCTCACTTAGCATAATGTCCTCAAGGTTCAACCATGTTGTAGCAGCTGTCAGAATTTTCTTCCTTTTTAAGGCCAAATATTCCATTGTGTGGATATACCACATTTTGTTTATCCATTCATTTATTGATGGACACTTCCACCTCTTGCTATTGTGACTAGTGCTGCTATAAACACGGGTGTGCAAATATCTCCCGAGATTCTGCTTTCAATTATTTTGGTTATGTATCTAGAGATCATGTGGTAATTCTACTTTTAATTTCTTGAGAATCCTCCTGTTTTCTGTGATGACTGTACCATTTTACAACCCCAGCGTAGTCCACAAGAGTTGCATTTCTCTGCATCCTTGCTAATATCTGATTTCTGTTTTTGAGAGCGGCCACACTAATGGGCATGAGGTGATCTCTCAGCGATGTTGATGGTGAAACGTACATACAGGACAGCGCAAGAATCCTACACGGAGCACAGAGTTGGAAAGGGAACATTCAAGGAATTCTTGACCCAGGTCAAGAAATAGACGTCACCGGTGTCGCAGAAGCACCCCTGCCGTGTCCTGGTAAACCTTTTCTCTTACAATCTCTCTGCTTCACGTCGCCACACGTCCCAGCTAATTACTCTCCTGGTTTTTACAGTAATAATTCTCTTGCTTATCTTTATAGTTTCCTCACATCTTTCCACCCCTAAACAACAGAGTGTATTTTGCCAGTTTTTGAACTCTATATTAATAAAATAATTCTGCAAGTATATGTGTGTTACCCTTCTGCTTAACATTGTGTAGGTAAAACGCACCAATGCTGTTCGTGCAGCTCTCATTTATGGGTTTTCTGTATAAAATTTCATGGCAGGAAAATTCACCCTCAGTCTCTTCGAATGCAAATCCACAGAGAGACGCTGTACCTGTCTCCCGGGGTTTCGCGGCAGGGGTCTCCATGGCGCCCCTCGGCAGCGTCCCCTGGAGGCGTGGGCACCTCTGCAGCCTCCCGGGCCCCAGGCCAGGCCCAGAGGAGCGGGTGCTGCTCCTGGGGCTCAGGGACAGCAGCCTGTCCGGGTCAGGCAGGCTCGGCAGGCGCCCCCAGCCCCAGGCTGCGCTCGCGCCGCATCCCCCGCGCCCCACGCAGCTGCCCCAAACTCCGCCCGGGGACGCGCGCGGGGCCGGGGCGGGCCGGGCTCAGCTGCCCGGAGAGGGCGGGCGCGGAGAAGGCCCGCAAACAGGCCCCGGGCGGACCGACACACCGACCGACCGTCGGACAGCTGCGCGAGCGAGCGAGCGAGCGAATGGACTAGCCTCCCACAAGACGACAGCGACGACCACAAGGGAGCAGCAGTGCGGCCGCCGCGCGAGAGTGCGCCTGCGCAGACCGGACGCGAACCACAACTCCCGGGAGGCTTTGCGCCGCGCCGGCGGCGGACTCCGTTTCCCAGAGGGCGTCTGGGGCCCTGGCAAAGACCCGACCGGGACGAGCGTGTGGCACAGCCTTCTGGGAAGTGTGGTTCCGGGGCCAGCAACCGTGTGGCGCCGCTGTCCCTGCTCTCCGCTCTTTGTTCCGGGAACATCTTGAAGTATAAGTGTGTGCGTGTGTGTGTGTGAAACATCTTGTGTGTATGTGCAAACATCTTGAAGTATGAGTGTGTTTGTGTGTGTGTGTGTGTGTCCCCGTGGGGGCGTGCTGGGCCGCTGTGTGTGTGCGTGTGTGTCTAATTGCGGGCATATCGGGAGGACGGTGCCCAGGAACGTGGACTTGGCCTGTCGCTTCGTCCACGTCTCCAGGTGGAGTGGAGTGGGCTCTGGCCCACATCCGTCTTTGCAGGAATGACTCAGGCGCCTCGGCCTAGGGACACTAGAGGTGGTGGGCGAGTCTTCAAGGGGTTTCCCAGGGGCCCTGCCCGTGCTGCCCTTTGTGGAGCAAGGCACCTGGGGAGGAGGAGGTAGAACCCCAGCCCTGCTCTCAGACCAGGTGCCCCTGACCCGGGTCCCCGCTCAGTAGCTGGGGAAGGTTATGGGTGGTGGCCCCGCCTTGACACATGGACAGGCTCTAACACTGCCACCTTCCCTAACTTGGACCCCAGGCTCAGCTTTGGCTACAAGCTCTTCCCATCCCCCCTCCAGTATGTCCCCTATAAATCTTATCTTCTGGTATTCACGCCCTTGTGTAGTACCTCCCACACTGAGTAGGGCTGACTTGTGCAATGAAAAGGAATGTTGTGGAAATGCTAGTGTGTGAATCATAAAGCTAGGTCATAACGTACATCGATTGCAGCCTCTCCCTTGCTCTCTTGCATCACTTGCTCTGGAGAAGCCAACACCACATCCTAAGGATACTTCAACAATCTGTGGAGAGGTCCACGTGGCAAGAAACCCCGCCCTCCTGCCTCCAGCCTGCGCCAATGTGCCACCCACAGGAGGGGCTGATCTTGGAAGTGGATCCTCCAGCCGTTGGTAACATCCTGGAACCTTATGAGAGAGACCTTGAGCCAGAATAACACAGGACAGCTAGATGTGGTGTACAATAATAAAACTTTATTGTTGTTTTGTCACTGATTTAAAGGTAATTTGTACAGGAAAAGGTAACAAATCCAGATAAAAGTAGTATATATAATGCAGCTAGCTAGTTACAATATTTGGAAATAGGATCCTATGAAAACAAAACTGAAATGTGGGAGAAGCTTTGGAAGCAGCAAAGAGCAGAAGCCAGAAGAGTGGTAATGAAAGCATAAATGCCTTTGAAGGATCTGTTAGAAGGAGTCTGATGATCTTTGAGGAGGCTTTGGATGAGAGCTTAGAGGAAAAGGGAGAAAATGTTTTTGGAAATTGGAGAGAAATAAATCCTTGATACAGAGTGGCAGAAAGCTTAGCAACATTGTCATCTGCAATAACATGGAAAGTAGGAAATGTACCTAATGAACTGGGTGATCTAGCTAGGAGACTTCCAGCCAGAGTCTTGAAGGTGCTTCCTGCTTTCTTGCTGCTTATAGTAAAATAGGAGAGGAAAGACATCTACTATTAAACAAAAAGGAGCCAGGAATTGCTGGTTTTGAAAATTCCTGGCCTCTCCAGATGGAAAATGATACTGAGATTAAAAAATGGTCTACAGGCAAAGATTAAATCTAGAACACAGTTAGGAAAACATGGTATAAAGATGAAGTTTCATGAAAAGATCCTTGACATCATTAGCCATCAGGGAAATGTACAAAAAACACAATGAGATACCACTTCACATCCCCTAGAATGACTGTAATAAAAAAGATAATAACAAATATTGTCAAGGATGTGGAAAAATTGGAACCCTCATACACTGCTGGTGGGAATGTAAAATGATGCAGCTGCTTTGGAGAACAATCTGGCAGGTCCTCAAAAGGTTAAAAATAGAGTTCCTGTATGACCCAATTCCACTCTTAGGAATATACCCAAGATAAATGAAAACATATGTCCACACAAAAACTTGTACATGAATGTTCATAGAAGTATTATTCATAATAGCCAAAAAGTGGAAAACAACCCAAATATCCATCAAATTATTAATAGGTAAATAAAATGTAGAATATTCATACAATAGAATATTATTCACTGATATAAAGAAATAAAGTATTGATACTTGCTACATCACGGATGGATCTTGATAACATGCTAAGTGAAAGAAGCTGGTAACAAAATACCATGTATTGTATGATTCCATTTATATAAAAGTACAGAATAAACAAATCTATAGAGACAGAAAGTAGATTAGTGGTTACCTAGGGCTGGGGACCTAGGGAAAATAGGGAGTGACTGCTAATGGTTATGGGGTTTTTTTTTGAGGGGTGATGAAAATATTCTAAAATTGACTGGTGATGGTTACATACCTCTGTGAATATACTAAAACCATAGAATTGTATGCTTTAAATGGGTAAATTGTATGGTATGTAAATGATATCTCAATAAAGCTTTTATCTTTTTGAAAAGATGAAATTGTAAAATTATTTGTTAAGATCCCAGAAAGATCTAATGCCACAGGAAGCTATTCCAGCCAGAGAGCTTCTTAGAAGCTTAAGTATGTTGTTCCTTGGACGGCTCAGCTTAAGCCCAAGGTAAAGGAGGGCTTATTTCAAAGATATTTTTGGCTGTTGATTTTGTCTAATGGAGTGAACCCCAGTCACATTCACAGGAGACCCACACTTTTTTAAGAGAATTGTATTGGCAAAAGTACTACCAGCTTGGACTAAAAGGGACAGGGACAGTACAAAAAGAAGAGGCCTTTGGAGCATCAAATTTCTACAGAACGCAGAGCAGGCTGAGAAAACAAAAACCTTCCTGTAGTAAACGCAAGAACCTTTCACGGAAAAGGAAAGATAACTCAGAGGGCTGAGCCAAAAGCCATGATGGGTTATTCCCAGATTTTGAGGACTAATCAAAGAACTTCCAACCTATACATTGCTGGATTTCATAATTACTAGGGACCAGTGATTCCTGTGTACCTTCCCCGCTTTTGAAGAGTGTCTAGACAGTCATCCTATGCCTGTCTCACCATGTATGTTGGGTGTATAGTGGAGGGGGCAGTTATGAGTTCACAGGTCTTCAAAGCAAGAGGAACTGCCTTCAAGGGTATGCACTTAAGAAACTACACCCCAGCCTCATCCACATAGATGACAAGATTATGGAGTTTGAGCAGACACTGTAATAGTGAAAGACTTTGGGGGCCTTAGGAAAGGATGACTGTATTTTGCATGTGGGAGAGATGTGAGTCATTGGAAGCTAGGGGTGGACTTCGGTAGCCAGCCTCCAAGTAGCCCCCAATGATTCCTGCCTCCGGGTGCTCATGCCCTTGTGTAGTCCCCTCCCACACTGAATCGAGCTGACTTGTGTAACCAATAGGATATAGCAGAGATGACAGTGTGTGGGTTTCACAGCTGGGTCATAAAAGCATTACAGCTCTGCATTGCTCTCTTATATTATCCATCCGGAAAAGCCAGCTTCAATGTCACGAGAACACTCAAGCAGACCTATGGAGAGGTCCACACGGTGAAGACCCGAGGCCCTCTGCTAACAGCCAGAATGGACTTGCCAGCCATATTAGTGTGTCATATTGGAAGCGAGTCCTCCAGCCCCAGTCAAACCTTCAGATGACTGCAGCCCTGGCCAACAGCTTGACAGACCCCCAAGCTGGAACCGTCCACACAGGCCGTTCCCGAATTCCTGATTCACAGAAATTGTGTGAAATAACAACTGGTCGTTATTGTTTTAAGTCACTAATTTTGGAGTTATTGGCTACACAGTGATAGATAATTAAGACTCCTGCTCTATGCAGGACCAATGTTAATCAGAAGCAACTGACGGGCTGGCGGGTGTCTGTGTTTGAAAATGAACGTGCGCCTCTGTGGACGCACCTGGGAGTGTGTGCTTGACTGTGGGTTTTCCAGTGGGACTCTGCGTGTGGCTGCTGGGTTGCACGTCTAGTCTGTGGTCGTCACATATTTGTGCTGTGTGTGTGTGTGTGTGTGTGCCACTGTGGCTCTCACAGATCTACACGACTGATTGTGTGTGCATGCTCTGGCCTCACAGTTCTCATCTGTGCTCTGACTCTCTGGGTGTGTGTGCTTCTGTGTGACAGCGTGTCCCTGTTTCCAGGACAGAGTGTGGGTCTGTGCGCTGACTGCTATCTCACAGTCCAATCTGTTTGGGGGATGCGACTGTATGTGTATGCATCTGTGTACAAGTAACACTGTGCCTACAGGCCTGGTCCATATGTGACATTGCATGTGCCTCTACCCATGACTGCTACGTCATGGTCTGTACATGCATGCACCTGAGTGTTTGTCATCTGAGTGGCTCTTGTCTCACAGCTCTGGTTTGTGTCTCCGTGAGTGTGTGTGGTATGTGCGTGCACCTGGTGGGTGAGTGTGGAGAGTTCAGGTTGTGTGACCACTGAGTGAGATGGACAAGGGTACAGGAGCACCTGCCAGGTCCAGACTGTTGACCTACCCTTTGCCTCCATCCTCATGGATGAGAGTAGGCACATTTCTCTTTGCCTGGAAAAAGAGAGTCTCCTTTGCTTGGGACCACCCAGAGCTGGAGGAAAGGGGTCCTCAGGAAGCCCCAGCTCCTGCACTTTGCCCCTGGGCCTTTCTTCTAACAATAGAGGGTGGGGGCAAGCCACAAGGGGTGGGGTGGCCTCGTCCAGGGTAGAGAGGTGGCCTCCATGAGGGTCTGTAGCACATGTGTCTAGGAGGCCTGGGAGGGTAAGAATCTGCTCAGCTTTTACTGGGAACCACCAGGGTGAGGCGTGGATGCTCTGGGCACAGAAATAAGGCCAAGGATGGGAGTGCAGTGGGCCGTGCTTGGCAGGAACCCAGAGCCAGTGGGGCAGGTGCGGAGGAACTGTCCAGCTGGAAGGAGAGAGCCGACGGCCTGTGCCATTCTGAGGCAGGAGGGGCTGTATCATCAAGAGACCTTAGGCTAAGACCCTCATTTTGCTGACCAAGAATGAGTGAAGTTCAGTGAGTTCAGAAGCACATTTTTGCTTTTCTCCCCGAGTCCCTCAAGCATTAGGGCCAAGCTGTGATGGTTAGGGGCAGCTGAGTCTCCAGGCAGAGTTCCTGCTTTCATCTCCTGCTTTTCCATGAGACCTGTGGACTGCTGGGAGCAGGAAGATGTCTGACCACTGTAGGGTCAGCCCCCGGTGAGAAGCTCCTCCCTGGGCTCCGAGGTCAGCCTTTACTCCCTTTCCCCCAGGAGCAAGTGGGGAAAAAAAAAAAAAAGAAGAAGAGTTTGGAAAAAAAGAACAGAATGCTCAGCAAGGTTCAGTTACCTCAGACGTACAGGAGAGAGCCAAAAAGGTGATTGCTATTTTCTTGGACATAAGCCAGCCAACAATGCCTATTTTTCTTTATTTCTCCCTGACCACAAATCTGCCCACCCATCCTGATGACTGACATGTGTCAGAGTGCCTGCTGGCACACACCAGGAGAGAACCCCCTTGCTTGGCCATGGCTCTGGGGGCCAGAGTGGATCCCTGACCAGAGGCAGCCAAGCCCAATTCCCAAGCCAACTCCCAGGGGCCGGGAATTCTGGTGGGAGCAGCCAGTATGCCGAGCTGGACTGAGGGTCCTGGAGGGCAGTTGGGCCAGGAGTCATTATGGGGCTCCTGCAAGAAGGACACATGCAGGAGGAGGGCCCACGCAGCTCCAGAGAAAGCTGGTCAGTGCAGCCCTGATTCCTGCAGGCCCCATTCCCAGCTCCAGCCCCCAGGCACCATGGCTCCACTTCCTGCCTCCAAATTCTGCGAGCTCCTCTTGAACGCCCTCGGGAAACTGTCTGTCTTGAACTAGCTTGAGGCCTGGAGAGCTCTGTGGGGGACCATCTAGAAGACAGCCACCAACAATTCCTCCATCCCCACACGTGCAGGCCACACCTC